AGTAAAACTGGATTTGTCAACTGCATTATGGATTAGAACATTAAAACACTGAATTTATTCAATTTCTTATACAATTCTCCAATAGTCAACAAAACTGAAAATGCACCCTTAGGGCTTTAGACTAGTTCATTCCAGTTGGATCCCCAGTTCAAATGTGCCTTTCAACCAGGTATACCTAACTGGAATCTATATTGCAGTAAGGTCACCTTTAAGAAGCATCTGAGGACCTCTAAGAACCACCTTGTCTTCAGATGTTAAAATATAGATTCTGATTCCGTCTATTTGGAGTGGAAATAACAATTGTCTGCATGGGGCTGAACCAGAATGAACCAGTTTGAAGTCCCACTTATCCTACACTCTCTTGCACAATTGTGCGTAAATATTAATAGCTTTTAGATCGACAGTAACAGTTCTCTGAGTTGCAAATCCATTTTCTGTTGACATCCTTATTTACTAACCAGTTTGTTGTTGTTGTTTTTAGTAGAAGACAGCACAAAGTTGAAGTAGAAGGTCCCTTAGAGATAGTCTCTCTCCAGACCAACCCCTCATTGTAATGATGAAAACTAAGGCCCAGTGCAGGAGCTCAGTTTAATAACCAGAAGCAGAGCACTTCCTCTGTAACCACTTCCTCCTACCAACACAGAGCATCTCAGGTGCTATGTGGCTAAGTGCTGGAGATAGAGGATAAAAGGCCAGATTTCTGTATTCAAGGATTTTGCAGATGAAAGGGGAGATGGATATATCCTTTCAATGCAATCTGTATCGATAGAGGTATGAAGATAGAGACAGGTTATCTATTTAACTCAGGCAAAAGCTGGTATGCTGAAGAAAAGGCTTCTTTTAAAAAATCATTAATTTTATTGGGCTACAATGAACACATCATACAGTTCCATCATATTGAGAAGGGGTGTGTCAGCATCACCACAATCCGCTTTGGAACACTTTCTTCCTTCCGCCTTGTATGCATTGGTGCTGACTCCTCATTGCCCCACCCTTCCTTTCCGTGTCCCCAGGAAGTTATTACCCCACTTACTGAAAAGTAAGCGCAAATCCTGGGTAGGAACAGCTTTCCTAACTTCTAGTATCTATGATTGAAATGTAGGTTAATTTCTGAGCACTCATTTTCCAAAAAGAGAACTGTAGCTTCAAGATCTCTTACTTATAGATATGTGGATTGAAATGTTTTGATCATTTAAGAAAGGTCAATAGTAGTATAATTTATAAATCCCATGTTGACATTCAAATTGAGTAGGACCAGGACACTGGTTCGGTCGACAATACGAATGTTGTCCCAGTTACCTAAAAGGTGGTGAAGTGCTTTTCTCAGCAATCACCGGATCCTTGAAGGTGATGTCTACTTCTCAGTAGCAGTGGAGGGGAAGAATTAAGATTACTACCTTTAGTATTAAAGAAAAAGCCCAAGCTGTGAGAATCTGAAAATTATGCCATTGCCTTGAAATTATACCAAGTGCCTGGAATATTTAATGTACTTTTCCAAGTGTCTTCTTAAAATGAAGTATCTCGTGAGGCAGTAAGAACTCTGGATAGAAAGATCTCGAAGGAACATGAAAAAAAGTTCTATGGAGCTAACAGCATAAGCTAAGAGGACAAAAAGCCAAAATTTTGATTGTGTGTATGTGTGTGTGTGCTTTCAATTGGCATTCCTTTTATTTATTTATTTTAAAATTTTTATAATTTTTAAAAATTTAAATCATTTTATCAGGGGCTCATAGAGCTTTTTCATCTCTCTCCAAGGTGCACAGTTACTTGATCTCTCTGGGCCTCGGGTTCTCTAAGCTGTACAAGGAAGGATCGTCTTAAATATCTAAAATTGTTTCCATCTCTAAAAGTCTGTGGTTATATGGGATGACCTCGAGTGAACTTCTTGCAGATGTCAGGAGGAAAAAAATACCCACAAATGGATCTTGGTAAAGAATCTTAGTCTAGGGCCAAGCCTCTCTTTTCTAACAAATTGATACCACCTGGCTTTCAAGAAGAATCCCTTCTCCAACAATACGTTCGAGAATAATAATACATTTACAAGATTAAAAGACAGTTATTGTTCAGTCCCACCTACTTGGTTTACACAAACTTACTCGAGCATAGAGCAGGAGAATATTTCCAAGTACAGATGCACGGGTTTGGAGTTGAAAACGGGCTCTTGGTCCAATAATTATCACACCTGTCAAATTAAAACCCTGACACGATGTCAAAATACATACCTTTGAATACCTTCGACTAATGCTACTTCATCGGGGGATGAGGATATATACACACAAGATTTCCCTGAGTCTGGAGATTTCCTGGGTCCATCCACACTATCGTCATCTTTCACCTGGACCGTGTGGCAAAGACAGAGAGCCCGAAAAAACAACTCTTCTCGCTCCTGGAAAAAATGCAGCGCAACCGAACAAAAATGGCAATATATTTCTTGAAATCGAAGGAAAAGAAACAAGACAATAAACACTGGTCTAACCCTTGAGAGTCTAGGAATTTGCCTTTGCTAATTTATAAAGTAGATTCTAATGATGACTTTTCTTTATTCCTGAGCACTTCCATGGTAATTAACTCTTTTGTGACCCATGGGTATATATACTCACCAATATTTTCAGCCTCTCCTTTTTCTTGAAAAGATCCTCTACCAGCTGCAGTATGTGCTAGGGACCTATAAGACTGAATGAGTCTGAAGACACTGGCCTCACTCCATCATTATGCCTAGAGCCCACGGGTGGCATGCGCACCCCACGCGCTTGGCGTTATTGGGTGTGTCCAGTCAGATCTGACTCCTGGAGACCCTGCGTGAAAGAGACGGAAGCAGCACATCCTGTGCCCTCCGCACAACTGTTGTTCTGAGCCCAGTGTTGCAGCCACTGTGTCAATCCACCTCAGGGGGCTTCTTCTCTCTTGCTGACTGCTTCACCACGTCGGTGTCTGTTCCCAGGGACTGGTCTTTCTTGCTCACCTGCCCCAAGTCTGTGAGCTGAAGTCTTCTCGTTTCTAAGGAGCATTCTGGCCGCATTTATTCCAAGACAGGTTTGTCTGCTGTTCTGGTGGTCATCCGTGGGACGGTGAATATTCTTCCTTAGCACCATAACTCAAATGTACTGATTCTCCTTAGATCTTCCTAATCCTATCCCAATCCTCATCACATCCTCAATTTCCCCCCTGGATGTTAGCATGCTTTCCATGACAGGAAACATGGTCTCAACAAAAACTCAAAGCACCAAAGATTGTCATGAAAGCATTTGAATGGTTTTATGGTTAATGGAGCAAGAATGTTTAAATCAGCTTGATACTTTTAGAAACGGAAAAGCACTACTCCGTGATATAGCAATTAATCACTAAATATTTGGGAAAACAACTGGACAAAGAGAGACTTTGAGTTAAAAAGTATATGAAACACAAACTATTTATCAAAATCTGGGGCAATTATATCACTGTCCTGAAAAGTTGTATTATGCTGATATTCTCCTAACAATAATTCATATTAAACCAGACAGTCATGAAGTACCTACTACACACGGGACGCATTCTATACA